CACTGCCTACCTTGGAGCCAGTCCAGCCCAGCAGGGCAAAGGGGAACTGGCTGATGGGGGCAACCACCAGGTCCACACGCACAGCCTTCCAGGAGGGGTGGGGACTCCAGGTCCCCCCCTCGGCTGTCCTTGGGGGCCTTGGCAGACGAAATATGCAGAAGCTCTGCTCAAAGGTGTCCATGGAGTGGCCCTTCGGGGCCAGGCGGGCAGGGTCTCCACTGGGGCTGCGCTGATGCTGCTGATACAGGACAAGGCCCTGGGGCGGGGGAGGAGCAGGTGTGACCCACTGTCCATGCGGCTGGAGGGCGGGGCCCAGCAGCTCCCTGGAGGGCAGGGAAGCTCTCACCTGCTGCTCCAAGTAGTGCATCACCCTGGGCAGCAGCCCCACCTCCTGGCCCTCCTCGGGGTGGGTGATGAGGAAGTCCACGTCATGGCCCTGCAACTTCCCCCTGAGGGTGGGTCTGACGTCCAGGCAGCCCAGGGACAGGGTCTCCCATTCCCTCGAGACCCTTGCGTGTGGGAAGGTCCACCGCAGGGGTCGCCCGGAGCCCAGCCACATGCACATCGCCTTACCTCCGGAAGCCACCAGCCAGGGTGACGGTGGCCCTAGGAAGGGCCCACCCTACGGCCGCCTCCACCACCTGCCGCAGGGCCTCGGCATCTGGCCGCTGGACGGGGCTGCTCAGGTCCTGGTAGTGCTGGAGGCCTGTGGGCACGGTCGGCTGCTCTGACCCACCCACCACCTCTCTACCCTCCTCTCCACCACCCCTCCTCCCTTTCAAACAGCAAACTTTTATTTAGAGATGACTGTAGATTCACGGGCAGTTGAAAGAAATCACAGAGGTCCCCTGGGCCCTCCCCCAGCTCCCTGACCTCAATCTTAGACCACAGTGTGCTGACGACGCTGGCCTCGGGTGAGGTGGGGCCGGAGCTGATAAAAGGCACAAGGAAGACGCTCCATCTCTGAGGAGCAAGCACTGTCTCACCCGTGCCTCCCACGACCCTCTGCTCTGACCCCACCAGTGGGTGCGAACCTTCAGGCCCAAGCGGGGGGAGCCCACAGTGCGGTCACCTGCTTTCTGCTGCTGGGTCAGTCTCTGCACCTGCTTCCAGACGTCGTCCAGCGTCCGCAGTCCTTCCCGGTACCACTGGTCAGCAGTCCTCACTCCGACCCCGAAGATCCGGGTGAAGAGCTGTTGGGAGGGTGAGGGCAGCCCCGTCAGTGCTGGGTCGCCCCACACCCCGTCCCCTCCTCCAGGAGAGGTCTCGCCCAGAACCTGCACTGTCACCAGCCACCTTGCAGCGGCTGAAACCCATCACGGCCTTTCTTCTCCTTCACAAGCGCAAACACAAAGGCAGCGGGAGGCAGGGGGCTGGGGGAACGCCAACCTGGCCCAGCCAGGGGTCAGCACAGAATCCAGGCCAGTGGGGAGGACCCTACCGGAGCCGACCTCTCCCTGACCCTGGCCCCAGCAAGTCACTGCCTCTTACAGCTCGCCCTCGGCCAGCCACTGAGAGCCCCTCCCTGGTAATTCCTGGAACTAAACCAGGTCAGGCCCATGCAGTGGTGAGCTGCACGGTGGGGCAGGAGCACCTTTGGGCCACACCTGCTCAGTGAGGCACAGGCGGAGGAAGGCCCAGCCCTGCTTCCTGCAGACCCGCTTCAGCCGGCCCCTCAGGCTGTGCAGACCATCCTTCCCTTGATCCCCTAACCCAGGGCATGCGCCGGCTCACTGTCACCAACAGAAACCTCACAGAGAAACACTGAGAATAACCTCATCATGTTGTTTATAAAATAACTAATTGTTAGCAATTAGTTATTGCTAACACCTTGCCCATCTGACCACCTCCTCATCATGTTGTTTATAAAATAACTAATTGTTAGCATACTTCCCTGCAGGCTCAGATGCACTCTGGGGTGCCCACAGGGAGGCAGACGGTTCTGTCCTCTGTCCACGCTTCCCCACTCACTAGCTCCTACCTGAGCCCCTCCATCCTTCACACGTGGCTCCCTCCTCCTCAAAGCCCCCCTTGGTCCTCATAACATCTGGGCAACCCCAGGGCAGCAATGACCCCGCCTGTCCGGGAAGCCCTACTGCCCACAGGTGGCCCATCTGACCACCTCTGGCCACAAAAGCAGGGCGTCCAAGCAGCAGGAGGGACACTGACAGCTCCGCATCAGACCAGAGGGAGGGGCAAAGGACCGGTGCGCCGTGGACCAGGTGGGACACACCAGGAAATGAAAGTGGGAGCTCAGGACAGAGACAGTCCAGTGAGCCCGCGCTCCTTCGTCCCCTCACGTTCTGCTGAGGCTCACAGAGCCGGTCACATACTGGAGGCCAGTCCATCAACAGTCCAACAAGGACAGGCAGTGCTGGGTGATCTAGAACATTCCTGTGCTCAAAACAAGCTTCTCCCTGTGGTCTGTTTGGCTGCCTCATGCGAATCGGACATCAGCTGCCACTTCCTCAGAGGCCCCCTCTGACCGGTGGGTGGGTCCCTGGGGAGGACTGGGTGTGCCCCGCCGGGGTTGCCGGTGTACCTTCATGCTCTGGTACCGCTCTGAGCGCTGGACTCGCTCCACCTCCTCACACACTCCGTGTTCCAGCAGCTCCTGCGGCCGAGACAAAGCCAAGCCCAGCCTGACCACAGAGCAGACCCCACGCTCAGCAGGGGGCCCTGCGGGGTCAGGATCTGAGGGACTTGCAAATGGAGACTATGCCCCAGAGCTTCTCCCTCAGATAAGTCGCAGTTTGTGTAAATAATCACCTTTAAAACATAGGTGAGGAGCTCAATGCCACTTCACTTAAAAGCAAACTGAATTCAAAAGCCTCTTTGCCATGATGTCCTCTCCAGTGACGTGCACAAAGGCACGGCTTTCCTCAAACACTGCACTTAGGTGCTCCGCTCAGGCTGCTCCGCCACATCCCGGACAGCGTGGGCCGATGCCAGCAGTGCCCGAGACCAGCCTGCAGCCCGAGTCCTCTCAGCCGCCTAGGCAGGTGCTGTGGCCTCATGCACATGAGGTGTCGGGTGGAGGGTGGCACGCTGGACTGGGAGCCTGCGGCTCCTCCCAGCTGGGCTGCACACAGAGCCAGATACTGTCACCAGGCTCCAGCCTCCCCGACACCCACCTGCACGCACACCTTGCTCAGTGTGGTGAGCACCGACCTGGATGACCCTGCAGGAGTGTCCTCCGAAATGGGGCAGGCCCTGCAGCTGGCTCAGGGCGGTGACGGGGCAGGGCAGCGCCTTGAGCACGGAGGCTGCCCTGGAGAAGGAAAGGAGGCGGCCCTCGCTGCCTGCAAAGCCCGCGGCTTCTGCCAGCATCTCCAGCGCCTCCTGCAAGGAGGGGCCCTTCGTGAGGGCAGGGTGGGTGGGGAGCCTCACCCATCCCTCCAGCTTCAACCCCCCTGTCCCCGAGGCAGGGACAGAGCAGAGTGGGGAGTGCTCACAGGAGCAGGCCTGGCCCCCGCTCAGGGAGGCTGGGTCCCCTGGCTCACCGAGAGGCTGGTGTTGTGGTGTGTGAGGGGCGTGGGACGCTGGCAGGCATAGGGTGGCATCCACACTGGGTTTGGCAGCACCTCCCTCGACACAGCCACCTAGGGACGAGCAATGAACAGGCCACTTGGAAGCTTCAGGACTGGCAGCCCTCGAAGTCTTGCCTCGCCTGGGCAGTCACCTGGGCTCTCAGGTACACAGGACAGAAGGAGCCCACGCTGAGGGGACAAGACTACTGGGGGCTACAAACAAGTGAGAGCAGAAGGTGGGATGGCCTGTCATGGCGATCTGGGCAGAGCCCTCACTGCCCACCTCATCTGGACACGCCTGCCCGTCACCTGCCCAGCTCAGCTTCCACCTGCTGGGCCTTTCTCTGTGCCCGACCAATCCTCCACCCAGCTCACCTGCAGGCAGTGCCGGCCCTCCACAGGGACCGGCTGCCCAGCTGCCATGCTCTCTGTGAACCAGCTGATGTCCAGCAGGGCCGGGTGGGTGCCACCTGGGGGCGGGGCCGGCCTGCTCTCCTGCCAGCGGACGGCCTCCTCGGCTGAGGTCTGCTCCATCACCACGTGTGTCACCTCGGAGCTGGGCAGAGGGAAAGAGCCCGTGCCCAGGCCTGCCACCCTCCGGCTCCACTCCGCACCTGCCAGCCTCGGCTCAGCCAGGGGAGCGCTATTCATTCTTCAAGCGTCACCTGGTCAGGTAGGCGGCCCCGCCCCCGGGCAGGCC